AGTCCCAACTTGGAGAAATGATTACCAATGTAGTTGCTAGCTCTTCTTTAATGAAGAAAAAAAATTATAACATTCATCATCAAAAGCAAAATCAATTTCCTTCATTAGGAGATTGCAAAGAGGTTTCATAGTTTTAGAGAAGTCATTGATAAATCTTCGATAAAAATCGACATGTTCTAGGAAACTTCTCACTCCTTTGACATTTATATGAGGGGTAATTTTTTAATAACCTCAATTTTGGCTTGATTAGCCCCGATACCCTTGATGATATTTTATGTCCTAATATGATACCTCCGGGTACCATAAAATGGAATTTTTTTTCTAATTCAGAACAAGGTTCATTTTGATACATCATTCCAAAATAACATTGAGGTGAGCAAGTGATTTCTCAAAATCACTAACAAAAATAGAGAATTCATCCATAAATACCTTCATATAAGATTCAATCATATCATAAAATATAAAAACCATACACCTTTGAAAAGTGGATGGAGCATTGCATAATCCGAATGACATCTTACGATAGACAAACACTTTAAAAGGGCATGTGAATGTGCTATTCTCTTGATTTGCTGAGTCTATCATAATCTGATTATATTCTGAATAGCCATTCAAGAAACACTAATACGCTTAACCTTTTAAGCTTTCTAACATTTGATTTATAAAAGGTAATAGAAAATGATATTTTCTCGTTGGTTGATTTAACCTCGTATAATTAATATACATTCTTCGTCCATCAATTATTTGAGTCGAAATCAACTCATTATTTTCATTTTGAACAACAATTATACCTCCTTTTTTTAGGGACTACATGCACTGGACTTACCCAAGAGCTGTCAGAAATAGGATAGGTCATACTTGCTTCAAGTAGTTTTAGAACCCTTTTCTCATGACTTCTTTCACGATCGGGTTGAGTCTTTTTTTGTGGTTGAGCTAACGACTTGAATTCCAATTCCAATTTGATTTTGTGCATGTAATAAGTTGGGCTAATACCTTTCAGCTCAGTCACATCCAACCAAGTTAATGACTAGTTGTAATAGTTTCTCACCTAGAAAGACATACTTCGTATGTTTCGACAACTCTTTCAACTTAGGATCCTTTTGCACTGATGGTTGACTTTATTGCTCATTACCACTTAATTTTTTAATCTTTCTCATTGTATAGTCAACATGTATTGCTTTGAGTTGAATTAAACAAACTGCTACTTCCATCTCAAATTCATCTTGAACCTGATCAACTGAATTAATAATAACTCGATCCATCAATATTGAAGGTGTTTCTGCTGTAATTACCTCTTAAATGATTCCCTGTACTATATCAATTTTATGACATTGAGGATTCTTACTATGATGTCTCATAGCTCCAAGCACGTTCAAGACAACTTTTCATTTATTTATTGAACCTCAATATTAACTCACCTAAATTTACATCAATAAGAGTTCTACTTGTTTCTAAGAACAATCTTCTAAATAGTAGTGGCGTTTTAGTGTATTCAGGCATGTCAAGAATTACAAAATCTGTCGGAAATAATAAAAACTACTATGATGATGAGATCCTTAGGGAACAACAGGCTCGTGATAATGATGAGCAGGTGGCGGTACACATGGCTCGTGCTTTGAGGACATACCTTTTTTTTGTTGGCACTTGCATTTTTGTGGACATGAGTTCCACTTATGCTGACGTTGCATACCTCCGGTACTTCTTGGATCTCATTCAGATCCATGAGTACAACTGGGGGATGGCTTGCCTGATCTATCTCTATTCAAAGTTGAGAGAGAGATGTTGGTGGAAGACGAAGTAGGTCTCAGGCAGCGTGACACTAATGGTGATAGTATTTCTTGATCCTTGAATGTTTTTTTGTCATTTTCATTTCATATTTGCGAAATCATTGTCGATGATTTGTTTGTTCCAAACATTTTGTTTCAGGCTTGGATCCTCCAACACTTCCCGCGAATCGCTGATTAGGTGAGTCTGGCCGAGTGCATTGAGGATATGTCGCGTGCTTGTGCTTTTATCCCGCTCAGAGGGAACTAGGAGGTCGATCCTTTAAGAGTTTATCTTTAGCATTTAGTTGTCGAGGGCATGTACTTAAACTACTACGTGGATCACCGTCAGACGCGACCATTTGAAGAGATAATGCTATACTCAGGATGATTGGCTTACGGATCGCGTATCATTGGTCCTTATCTGCCTGGGCGCGTCAAGCAGCACTTCGGTTACACCTAGGAGATCCCCAGAAACCTTAATGTCTCTGCTCCTCCTGCCTTGACCCGTAGAGAGATAAATGAGATGTTTGCTGATTATGAGATTCATCTGGTACCGGAGGAGGCACGGGATACCATAGCCCCGAACGACTGGAGCTACGTCGAGGGGTACATCAGATGATTCTTCATGGCGTCACATTCGTACATGGTGCATGCTGCTTCAGGAGATCCATCGAGACCAACTCACTAGGGGATACTAAAGAAGAAGTAAACTCAGGTAAATCATATTGATGATGTCTTACCTAGATGTCGTCTCATAGTGGAGATTGCACTGACAGACATTGATGATGATATCTTCCCTGATGGGTATGGTGTCAGACGAGTTCCTAGATGCCATCATGGCAGAGGCACGGAGGAAACTGTTGTACCAGAGACATCGCCGGAGGACGAGAGGATTAATGACCGAGGAGGCAGAGCAATCAGAGGAGGTAGAAGAGATGTTCTCAGACACACAAAGTAGTAGTCTGTTATTATTTTGTTGTAGTACTATACTCTATACTTTATTTTTACATTTTTATTATATTTTGGATCTCGATTGTACAATTTTTTTTACATATATTGCTATTTATTTTTGACACACCCAATATTAGTCTCTTATTATTTTGTACGTCTATTTTTTTTGGGACAATGCATTATACTTCATCTAAAAACAAATACATAATTTATAGTGAAAACATCTGCTATGATACACTTCATAGATGTATCTTCGGAATAATTCAAATGTAAATGATTTTTAAGTGACATGTTTTAAATGTTTAAAATAATTTCGAAAATGTATCTCAGCAATATGCCATTTATTAAAAAACATGTGCATTCAAAGATGCATCTTTACAATCTAAAAATATTTAAATAATTTTGTTTGATGCCTAAGAACTGTGTATTAAGAAATTCTCAAAATAAAATTAGTTGGAAAATTGGAGGTACGGTTTAAGTGTGGTTATGGCAGATAAAAATCTCTTTTAAGGGTTTCTTATCTTAGGCCCAATTCAAACTGTTTTTGAATTGGCCCACCAAAAATAAACACATCCGATTTCATTTCATTCTCCAAGAATCAAAACCCTAAAACAACAAAAACTCAGCAGCTACATCGAATCAAACCAACATTTCCCTTCAATTTCATCGCATCACTGAACTATTCTTCTTCCCGGAAATCTCAGCCGGACTCTCTCGCCGGTCGCTAGAAACGGTGATAAATTTTTTTATATTATTTTTCGAATTTTGCGCACCTCGATTGTTGAACTTCCCTTTTCAATTGTTTCATTTTTTTTCTATTATTCAATGTATATAAATGGTAGAAAGCTCAAATGAATTTGTACAATAGTATCATAGCTTTGAATAGTTGATAAACTTGATTTTGTTAATCTGTGACTGATTTAGTTGTAGCTCAAAGAAATATGTTGAAATTTCTATCCGTTGTTATGATTGTTGTCTGAATTTTGGTAGCTAAGATAGAACTAAGTTGTTGTAGGCTGCTTTTAAGGTTTTAAGTTGTAGATTCTGCATTGTTCTGGTTTTTTCCAGGGTTACTTAGTTGCTACACGCTTCTCAGTTTTTGTGTCTCTGTTTGTGTGTGTTTTTAAGGTTTTCATTGTCAATGTCATCTTAATTGGATGTCTTAGCTGATTTTTTGTGTTATTTTGTTACTTTGTTGGTTAAGTAGCTTAGTAGTTAGACTTGTATGCTTAAAATATGGAGAAGTGGGAAATCTCGGTTTTGAAAGCATATCCTTATCCTTATAGCTATCAACCGAGTTGTAGTTACGAGATATATTGTTTACTTATGGGATTTGTTGTTTTGTCACTTAAACATACACAAGTTGTCGTTTTGTTACTTAAACACACATAAATGGTTGAGTGCTAAAATAAACCTAACAGTATTGTAATTTTAAATGGAAAACCATCAGAATTGTATTGATCGAGAGATTTCATTTTAGCTCAAAAAATATGTTGGAGTTTTTATTTATTGAAAAGATTGTTGCCAAACATTGGTAGCTTAGATGTGACCGAATTGGTGTAATCTACTCATATAAGGGTCTAAAGTTGTAGATGCCAATGCCACTTTGTTTTGTTCTGTTTTTTACATGGCTTTGGTATGTTGCCGCATGCTTCTCAGATTGTCCTTTTCATTTTCCATTGTTTCTTTGTCAATGTCATCTTAATGGGATTCCTTAACTGATTTTAACTTGTTCTGCACCCTTTTAGTATATGTATAACTTTTGGATATATAGACTCACACCATTACTCTCATACATATAGCACAGTTTACACTTTTGTTGAATGCATACTGTACTTTCTGACTGTAATTCTCGGTGTGCTGAAAATTAGGGAATAAAGGTTCTATCTATAACGGAGGTTGCTAAGATTGCTGAGTTGAATCCCTCTTTGATTTGTTTGGTTGGTTTTTATCTGCTTGCTATAGTAGTTGAACATCTAAGTGATATGTGATTGTTATTTTATGAATGAGAAACCCAATCGGGTTGGGCTCTTGGTTTGGTTTAATGACTGCAATGTTGTGTCCTTGTCAATATCATCTTAATGGGATTTCTGAGCCGGTTTTTGACCACCCGAAGAAATCTCGTTTGTGTTCGAGATACTGCTTTGGTATAACTTGTTCTGGGTTTATTGACACCATTAATATCATCCATTTAGCTTAGTTTACTCTTATGCTGAATGAATACTTTATTTTCTGATTGCAATTCTTGTTGTATTGGAACTTGGTGAAATAGAAGTTCTTGCTATGGAGGATGCCGAGAATGCCTTACAGTCATCAAAGAAAAGGGCTGCTGGACGGGAGCTCACACGAGACACTCCTCTTGATGACGATGAAGATGACACTGACCTTAATACTGGAACTTTCAAGAAAGCGAGTGACGAGGTTCTGGCATCCAGAAGAATTATCAAAGTAGGGCGTCGCCAACAGACTAATTCTACTCCTTCTTCAAACCCTTTTGCTGGAATACGCTTGTCTGCTCCTACTGAATCCAGTGCCAAGCCTGTTGAAGCTACTGCTGAAACACTACCAGGTAGCAAATCTCTTGAGGTGGAGGACAAATCTACTTCAAATAACGATGCTGCAGGTAAAAACAATGTAACTAAGGAGCTTGCGGAGAAGGAGAGTATCAACGAAAACTCTAAAGTAGATAATGAACAAAGTAAGGATGGAAGTAAGATTGAAAATGAGGGCAAAAAGGAAGCTGCTGATAAGGAAAGTGCAGGTGAGATTGAAAAAGAACCATCTACAGAAGTAAAAAATACTGAGAACAATGATAAGAGCGAAAATAGTGAAAGCAAGGATAAGGAAAACAAAGTAAGTGACGAGGCTACTGCTGAAGGTGGCCCATTCAAATCATTTCAACAGCTTTCGAGTAGTCAAAATGCCTTCACAGGTCTTGTTGGAAGTGGATTTTCTTCTTCCTTATTTTCCTTTGGGCCTAAAACAAATGATGGGACTGCTTTAGGTAGTGGAACTGGTTCTATTTTTGGCTTGAAACCTGACCAGCCTTTGGGTCTGGGTTTATCAAACACTGGAACTTCTGGTTTTGGGACGTCAGGAGCATCTGCTATTTCCAAGAGTGAGACACTGCAGGAAGTCGTCGTTGAAACTGGTGAAGAAAACGAGGAAGTCGTTTTTAGTGCAGATTCAGTGTTGTTTGAATTTGTAGATGGAGGTTGGAAGGAACGTGGAAAGGGAGAGGTGAAGGTGAATGTTGCAAGTGGAACAGAAAAGAAGGCCAGAGTTCTTATGAGGTCTAAGGGAAATTACAGATTGATATTAAATGCGCGTCTTTACCCCGAAATGAAGCTCACAAATATGGAGAAGAAAGGTGTTACCTTTGCCTGTGCAACTGAAGGGAAAACTGGTCTTTCGACATTTGCATTGAAGTTCAAAGATGGGTCCATAGTGGAGGATTTTAAGGCTGCTATTACTGCACATAAGGGGGAGGCGACTACAACTGTGAAGACACCAGAAAATTCTCCTAAGGCTTCTGTTGTTTGAGCTATATATCCACACTCACCCTTATACTCAATTTTCTCACAAACTCAGTTTCCTTAGCTGCTATTTTGTTGTTGTTGTGTCTTTGTATGACAGTTAAATCATATTTGAGACTTGTTCTACTTCAATTTGAGTCAAACCTGCTATGGTAGAAGGTTTTATTGTTCTGGATAAAGCGTGGATCTAAAATATAGAATATTCGATTATGAAAACTATATGTAGTGTTTAAATTTCCTGACATTAAGTATGAGGCAAGTTCTTGGATTAACGGACTCCTCAACATGGTTTATACTAATGACAATAAGTGCATGTTTGGTACAATAAGTTTACCGAAATCAAGGGGAGTCAGCTGAGATTTTACAAGAGATACACTAGTTAGCTTTTGTAAAATTTCAAATCCACACTGATACTAAATATGCACTAAACTAATTATGATTTTGATTTTATATAAATGTCATTTTGTTATAAATGTGGAATGATTGGTGTTGCTAACTTTTTATATGGTAGAGACAGACTCAAAAAGTAGGAAGGGAAATGAAGTTAATTTAGAAATCTCAAAATGCAGATTTGGTTCATATATATGTTCACATGTTTGCATATAAACGTGGAAGCATGCACAAATTTTAAGGGCATTTCTTATCCCATCTTATATGGGGGAATTACACTATATGCAAAACCCAATATACCTATCAAATTTTAGAGATGTATCTTTGATGCGTCTTATCTTAAGTTAAAATGTTAATTGATTCGGAGATGTATCTCCGAAAAGGATTTACGAATATGCATTTTTGGAACCTATCAAAATAGTGCAAATTAAGTTAGTTTTATGGTTATTCGGATGAAAATGACGATTTATTAGTGTTAAGGATTCTATTATACAATGATCATTAAACCATACAATTTATATGCAAAAAATGACATATAAATTCAGATGGTCAAAATAAGTTATTAGTCGATATACAACGAAGTTGAAATACACAATAAAGTCTAAATAAGTCAAAATAAAATACAATCAATAATAAATTCAAAGTAGAAATATTATCAACTACTACGTATGCTAGACTAGTGCTCCTCGAGTTCCTCGACTTCCTCTGTCCCCCGTCCACAGACACTGCCTCTGATACATCAGTGTCTCTCGTGCCTCCGTCATAATGACATGTAGGATCTGCCTCACCTCAGAACCATCAAGAAAGATGCATATGTCAATACCTGCCTGCACAATCTCCATAATGCAACGATACCTAGGCAAGACATCATGAGCATGCTCTAATTGTGTATGTTTATCCTCTAGTATCTCCTGATGAGCTGATCTCGATGGATCTCCTACATCATCATGCATCATATACAAATGTGACAACCTGAAGAACTACTTGATGTACTCATCGATATAGCTCTAGTCACTCTCAACTATGGTACTTTGTGCCTCCTCCGGTACCAGATAACTAAGATAATCACCAAACATGACATTCATATCTCTACGTATCATAGTAGGAGAAGTAGAGACATCAGGGTGTTTGGGAATAATCTGAGTGTAGTCGAACTGCCTCATGACGTTCTCAGACAGATGAGGAAATGTCAAACTAAACCGCAAGCCAGCCATCTCGAGTATAACACTACGTCGTCAAATGGTCGCGTCTCACGGTGAGCGACATAATTATTAAAATGCATATCCTCGACAACCAAGCAGTCAAGATACACTCGAAACGACTCTATCATCTGGTTTCCTCTGAGCGGAGCACATACACAAGAACGCGACACATCCTCAGTATCGGTCTATACACACGACCAGACGGAGATACGCGAGAAGCGTTGAAGGATCCAAGTCTGAAAAGTGTTGGAAGACACGAATCATCAGTAAGGGAGTTGCAAAAATGTAATGAAAATGATAGACAAACACTAAAAGACCAATAAATATTATTGTCAGTAGTGTGATGATGCCTTTCTCCTACTTCGTCTTTCACTTACAGCCCTCTAAAAACTTAGAACTCAAGTATACCAAATAAGCGCCTCCTAGTTGCAATCATGGATCCGCTTAAAGTCCTCGATGTAGGCAGATGACATCCATATAAATGGCACTCTTGTGTATAAAAATGTTTGTGCCAACCAAATATAACATGTAAGCTCGCATACTATACACTACATGTAACCCTACCAGCTCGTCATCACCGCTAGTTTTCTCTGCTCTAAGGAGCTCATATGTAGAAGTGAAAAAACAGGTCGTGCCCCGTCGGGTCGGCCCACACACCCGTCAAAAAATGGCAGATTGGTTATGATTTTGTGTCCACCTCATAATTGATCAAGGAGGAGACATGTTTGATGGTTTCATTTTTTTACTTAATATAATCGATTAGCTTGTCATTTCTAATTGATTAAAGAGTCGTCAAGCCCATGAATTATTGTCTTTTATAGTAGTTTTTTCTCTCTATATAAATGAGTGTTATGCTCATTTCTAAAGCGCATGTTTTTTGAACTATCTAGTCTATTATCTTACTCATTCTCCTTATAATAGAAGTTTTATTCAATACACATTGTCTTATTGCTGAGATAGTGACAAACTTATCTTGAAAGGTGTTTATTTATGTTGTGCGTGATTTTTTTATTCAAGAGCTTAGGTCTCTTGTGTATTTGTAATTTACTTGGAGGTTGCAAATTAAATATATAAATTTACTTGTGCCCCCGTGGAGGGGAGCACATGGAGAACGTGTGAGGTGCACGTCTTTTTGCCCGACGGGTGGAAGCGTCCTGCCCGGCGAGGAATGCCTGGCCGACGGGAGCCTCGTGCTCGACACAGATGAGGATAGCTCATTTGGGCCTTTCATCAAGCATAAGTGGGATGGGCCTTCCCGGCCAAGCGGGGGCCCAGGCCAAAACAAAAATATTATAACATATATCATATTCACATATAAACTAAATACATTAAAAAAATTGGCTTAAATAGTCTTTTCGTCTCTGTAAGTTGGCAAATTTTAGTTTTTAGTCATTAAACCATTTTTTGGAAATAATCTCTGAAAGTTAAAATTAAGGCTTAATGCACCATTTGGTCCCTTAACTTAATTTATGTTTTCAATTTAGTCCCTTATGTAATAAACGTTAGTGTCAAGTCCTTTAATTGTGATTCCGCTAGCCAATGTGTCCTTTTTGTTAAAATGTGTGTATTTCCGTTAGTTGTTGCTAGGATGGCATTCCGGTTGACTTTCATAAGGTGGCATGGATTTATGGTTTGGCATTTTGATTAAAAAAAATATGAATTTTCAACGTTTCATTTTATCTCTTTTTACTTCATTTTGACTTCACTTCATCTTCAGTTGAGCTCTCTTTTTCTGGAAATCCTAACGAAGCAACCATTAGCATCCATCTTCATTTTCGTTCGTGTGACTATCATCACTCTTCATTTTTGTTCGTCAAGGTATGATAATCATACATTTATAATACCTCATTCATCTTCAGTTTAGAATCTCTTATTTTTGTTCTTCATTTTAGAGTTTGTGTATTATTTGATTCTGAGTGAAAGAGGAACAAGGTCTATCATCTGTTTTGAGGTACGGATGATGCAAACTTTATATTCTTCCCCTTTATTTATTTTAGTTCTCATTTGCGTTAGCTTTAAATCGCATGTGGTTGTTGTACCTGGGTCACGGAGAGTCGTTTTAAATGCATTGTTCATCATGTGGGTGAATTTGTTGAGTTAACGAAACTAGGTTATAATGGGTTAGAGGAAACGTGGGATGTTGAGCCTGAATTTTGGAGTTACTTCGAAGTGTTAGGTGGGTTAAAGGATTTAGGTTATCCAACTATAGAGAGCCTTTGGTATTATGATGAAATGGAGTGTAATAACATTGTGGAGTTGAAAGATGATAATGAGACTAGAAGGATGCATACAATTGTTGTGTTGACTGGGAAGTTCGTTTATATGTTATACATCCTATCCTACAACTTGAGGTAATTGAGGAACCAATACTATCACTTGAGTATAGTGTTGAAGTAGGTGCCACTAAAACTGAGTTAGGTTAGAATATTGATGAGGGGACCACTTGTGTTGAGAATGTAGGAGACAACATTGAAAAGTTTGCAACTGATTTTGAGAGTGTTATGGATGAGGTTGAAGCTGATGTGGAAGAAGAAGAAATAAATGACAAGGGGACCACAAATGTTGTACATGATGTGGAAGTTGGAGACAAGGGGACCACAAATGTTGTACATGATATGGAAGTTGGAGACAAGGGGACCACAAGGGTTGTATAGGATGTAGAAGTTGGAGGCAAGGGGACCACAAATATTGTATAGGATGTGGAAGTTGGAGACAAAGGGATCACTAAAAGTGAACATGGTGAAGGGGCCACTAAAATTGAGCATGATTAGGGGACTGATGTAGTTGAACAAGGTGAAGGAGATGAGGGACTGAACTATAACAATGATGGAGAAGAAGGACTGAATTGTACCAATGATGGAGATGATGGACTGAACTGTAACAATGATGGAGAAGAGGGACTGAATTGTAACAATGATGGAGAATGTGAAGTAGAAGAGAATGAGAATTGTAACATAGAGGGAATAGAGGTAGAAGATGGTGGCAGTGATGACAGTGCATTGGAGATCAATTTTGAAGATTTTGATGATGATGTGGTTATGAATAAGGAGATACCAGAAAACTGAACATGAAGTGTCTAGAGATGAGGTGGTTGAGGGAAAAGGGAAGGGTAAAGGGAAAGGTAAAGGAAAGAGGAAAGGAAAGGGTAAAGGAAATGGTAAAGGAACGGGTAAAGGAAAGGGGAAAGGAAAAGTTGAAAGACCATGTAAGAAGGTTAATGTGTGTGAAGCATCCGGTAAAAGAAGTCTTTTGAATGAAAGTGATGCAGAGGAAGAACAAACAACTTTACATTTGAAGGGTCTGAGTGACATAGAGGATGATAATAATGAGGATGACTTGGAAGAGTAATTTAGTGATGATGAATGTGTTGGAAAGGAAGATTGGCAAACATTCAAACTGCCTAAAAAGATGGATGACTATAAGTGGGAATTGGTGACATACTTTGCTTCTAAACAAGATTTCAAGAATGGTATTAGGACATATGCCATACATAATGGTAGGAACATGAAGTTCAAGAAAAATGACAAGAAAAGGATGAGAGTGATATGTAAAAAAGGTTGTCCATGGGAGGCATATTGTGCAAAAATTCAGGACGAAGATACTTGGAAGCTCAGGAAGATTGTTGATAAACATACATGTAGTAGAGATTACAATGTTGCGGTGAGAATCGTGATACCAAGCTATTGATTAACTTGAATCTTAATTCTTAAAATTCACAACCAGACTTTAATTTATCCAAAGGAAAGGTTTAAAGAAAGAAAAACCCTTTGCGCTACGTAATAACGAAGCTAAGAGATTCGGGGATCGGGGGTTGGTTATGTTTAGGGTAGGTGTTTCACATCCTAAACATCTGTAGTACTCTACAGGAACCTTTTGTTTGTTTGCATGCTAATACTTGCTAAATGTTTGCTGTGGTTTGGGATTGGCTATAAGTTTAAGGTAAAGACCTAATGATAGTTTCTAAGTTTGCTCGCAAAGATGTCGCATCCTCTGCCTACATATCCTTACTAAGATAGAATCAGAGCAATTGTAGTTCACCTTACTAGGGATGGATGAACACCTGATTATGATCAAGGTTCAAAGGGGAACAAACATAAAAATGCTTGTGTAGAGTTTAAGAAAACTCTCTAGATCTATATTGAACACTCAAGAAAGGGGAGTAAGTAATCATCTCCATGATTCTTACATAGAGTTAACCAAACTCTACCTAACTCTACGTTATAAGACCAATTGGTTCTATCCAGACCAAAAGGTGGAAAAAGGCTCTATCTAGGCCTAAAGGGTAAGTCAATTGGTTCTATCCAGACCAAAAGGAGGGGAATGTTGATTGGTTCTATCTAGACCTAAAAGGGAGGTTGCTCTTCAAGATATCGCATCTTGTGCCTATATATTCTCATTATCCAATGAGAAAACAGAGCGGCCGTAGTTCGGGCTAAACCGAAGAACGGGGAACAATTGGTTCTTTCCAGACCAAAAGAGGGAAGAAGGTTATATCCAGACCTATGAGTTTAAGTCCAATTGATTCTATCCAGACCAAAAGGAAGGAAAAGGGAAGAGTAAAATAGCAAGTCTATGAAAAATCATAAAAACGCCCAAAATAATTGTCCTCACTGAGGATCGAACCTGGTAACACGCGCATGGTAAGGTACTTAAGGGAAGGCAAGCAACCACTGGGGTGGCGATACATCCATTGTATCAAGCCACCACATGTTAAGATATACTTAAGAAAGCGCACAGCTGGGCAAATGCAAGGCAAACTCAATGCAATTTTGTCAAAAATGATTACAATCCAAATTCCTCAAATCTCAACCAATTTTGGTGAAATAAGAGTCTAACTTACTTGAAACCTGATGAGGATTATGATGGTGCCATTCATTTTTTCAAAAGATGCACACACAAAGGAATTCGAATGAAAATGCAATTTAAAGCTTTGGGATGCATTTTGAGTTCAATAGATCAAAACAGATGCACTTAGAGCAAGAGATTGATATGAACAAGTTCCAAATATGGCATTGAATGAGTTTTAAGAAGCAATTTGGTTTAAAACACAACATAACAAGAAATGACAATGTGAGTAAATATGAATTGACTATGAACAAAACAGATTTCTCAAAGCTAAACACGGGGTTGTTGTAAGCTCATTATCCATGAATCAACTTAAAGGAAGAATCTAGTTTCTACCATAGACTAAGAGACGATCACCAAGTTTCAATCCAGTGAAAAAGGTTTTTTTTGCTTTAAAACAAAATGTGTGATATCATTACCATGCATAATGGTATCATTTAAAATGTCAACATCTTTGTACTCAAATACATATCAATGCAACAATAAGACATGAGGCTTTCCAATGACAACAAACTTTTGGGATAAAGGGCTGATAGCAAAGGAAGCAAAGATTAAAAGAAGAATTTGGCAAGTAGATTAAGGCTGTCAAGACAGATGACTCTCAAAAAGAAAGTTGACACAGGGCCTCTAATCAAATGGCTAATGATACTAATAAACAAAATATGGCAGATCTAAAACATACATGATGAAGGCATTGTTGTATGCTCAACAGTGTAACCAAGGCTATGCCTATTCACAAATATCAACATAAAAACCTACTAGATCCTAACATTGTGTTCTGCATCAAAAACACCAGATAAAACAAAGAATTGAACAAGGCTATAGGCTTGTCAACCCTTTATCATGCTTGGACAGTAAAATACCACATATCCCTAGCCTATTTAAAACAACAACAAATCCCCAATGGCTAAACAACAAGCAATGGTTCTGTATAGAACCCAACCTGAACTTCAGCAAAAGAACAAACCAACCCAAGAAGAACCTGTTTTCAAAGACCTAGCCATTCTGAGGCACACAACAATCTTGCCAAACTGTAGAAAGCTGACTGCAATGGTCAGCCTCCCCCCACACCCTTAATGACAAAAAGAATATGGTCATCCACCTCTGATGACAATTAAAGCCAAAACTATCCTCTAAACCTGTTAACACAGCTCAGCCAGTCTGAGATACTTCTCAAGACCTTCCTTCTTATAGCATGCCAACTGCACTAATCGGTCCAAACCCCTCATGACTGCAAACTTGGTTTACAAATTCTGTTCCAAACAAAAAAACTCCTCATATGGCAATCAAAGCATAAACCAAACAACCCTACAGCCTGCTAGCAACTACCCATGAGTTGACAAACTCAATTCTCAAGCATATACATATTGACAGCAATGTACCTACACTGATCCATGTCAAAATCCTACTTAAAACAACCAACTCAAATCCAACAGCTTAAGGCCATAACTCAAGGGTGTTGGACTGACAAAACCTGCCTTTAAAGAATAACCAAACAATCCTAAGTTCAAACCCAACTTAACTTGATTCCAAGACTGTTCCAAAACCAACAGCATAAACCTAACAACCTCTTATAGTATGAATCTGAATTAACAAACCCCAATTCTTAAGCAAAGTTATGACAGCAAAGAAACTAACCTGAATATGCCACAACTCAATCCTAAATTTCTTAATGCCACAACTCAAGGGAAGAATTGATACTAAAGCAAGACCTTGACATGACTATGCCAAGCCTTAATGAATACAAACCAACACAAAGAGTTCATCAATTCTGAGCATTTAGCAGATCCAGAGCTAACACACCCTGAAAACAGCCCTACTCAAAAAATAGTCCTATGCTCATCACATAAGCTAGACAGATCTAAAACTTCACCAATGATAAATGTCAAACATAACAATGTTCAATATTAAGGCATCTAACCTAAACCTCTTTTGTTGACAGCTTTTCAAAACAGTTTGGTAGTCATAACATAACAATGTTAAAAAAACATAGATTCAATCAAATGCTCAGCACCATACATTCATAAAAGTGAGAAACCACATATGTTACCCTAATGACATTCTAACTTAAGATACCATGGTCTTGACAAACTCAAACCTCAACACAACTTGGACAACATGATTGACAAACCATCTTAACATAACAATGTATAAGTTTTGCACAGAACCAAGTAACACATGATGATGCAGGTTAATGGGAGAGCTTATAAAGACATACCTCTTGTAGTCTTTCCTCACTATGCTAGCTACCAAGAAAACCAGAGATTCTTCCCTTTGAGCAAACTTGTGAAGCTTACTTCCTTTTGAAGAAACAAGCAAATCTCGAGAACAGTTTGAACACATGAAGTTCTAATTATTTTTTAAGGTTTTAGACAGTTGGTATAACACAAATGGAAGGTGTTCAAAGTGTCAAAGTGGTTCAAACTGTTTTAGGCAGTGAGTTTTATCACTTTGTGCAGAAAAGTCAAACTAATGGGTGTGAGAAGTTGACTTTTGGTTTTGTGGTGTTTTTGATCAAAATAATGGTTAGAAAACCTCCTAATGATGATTTGGAAGTTGTGTGGATGATTTTTAAGGTGGTTGAATGATTAGACAGGCTGCTGGTATGAAGTTTGCACAAGGCAGTTTTTTGGTGGTTTTGGAATTTTCTTCACTTACAAGTAAAGCAAGGCAAGACGAGAGCTTGATTTTCTCTTGGGTTTATAGGGCTCTGGTGTGAACAATGGAATGGTATGAAGTCTCTATTTATGGGCTAAAAGAAGAGTTGGGGCAGAATTGTCATTTGGAATTGCAAGCTTGCATTTTGGTAGGAAACCTTAATATTTCAAAAGTGATTCCATGTCTGCTGGTTTGAGATTAACTCCAACAGTTAATGCCATCACTTCTAGCTATCCTTAAGTTGGTTGTGCTGTCAAAATAGAGATGCTGAAGCAAGCCATGGCAGCAGCAAACCCAATGTCTCTTACACATGTACTTTATAATAATAAATAAAGGGATTATGATTAGATTTTTAGTTTTGCCTTGGTTCTCTCCACATTTGGTTCAAAGTTAAACTTAACACACCACAGCAGACATTCCTTCATGGTTGGAAATGAACCATATGGTTGGAAGTCAAATCTATGTTGAAATTTGAAAAGTTGACAAATTAGTGCTCAGGCCTAATTTGCTCCATTTGAAACTATCAGCTCACAAAGGCTATGGAAGAGTTCTAGCACTTTTTGTAAAGGCCTCATGGAGCTCTACAACTTTCATGTTCACGTTATCTCCAGATTCCAAGTGGAACTAGGTTTAAAAATCCCTCAAAGTTGGCTGAAAACATGCCTAAAAAGACCAGAAACTTAGAAATTTTCTAAGTGTTTTCCCCTCTTGTAATGATTTTGATCATAACTCCCAATCTACTCATTTTCTGCTCATGGACCAGTGTGAGACGTTTTTAGGACTTGTCAAGACCTTTCCAACAAGCTTTGAACCAACTCAATTGGATGTGTGGTTAGGAAGTTATGGTCTTGCCCCTTTCAAAACCCTAATTCCTGACTTTTCCGATTACTCCTCAATCCTTGATCCAATGGTTATGAAACTTCATGGATAGATGTAATATATTATTAGTAACATTTTTTCTTCACACTTTGAGCTCAAATTCCTTATGGTTGAAGAGTTGACTTTTCGGTCAACCGAACGGTCGATCGATGACTACCGAGTCGACTGTTCATGTTCTGGGTCTTCCGAGGCCTTGAAACTTCTTGAGTGGACTTCACTAAGCCATATGAGCTTCATGGACCATAATTACATCATTGGAAAACCTTTCAAATCAAAAGTCAAACTACAGTTGACTTTTCCTGATC